CAATGAACTTATTTCGAATAAAATGTCTGAGAGATTTAACAAATTAACAAACTCTGCCTAAGATGGGGAGCACACGGCTCCTGGCAGACCTTTCACAGAAGATTCCAGAGGCTGGTTCTCAAGGAAGAGCCCGGGAGCCTGGAAGGCTCGCGGTGCACACAGGCAGCCAGCGGCCCGGGCCTCAGGGTGGAGGTGCTGGGGGCAGGAACACCCCGTCCCTGGCCCACAGGGCACTTCTGGGCTTTCCTCATGGGGGGCACGGTCACAGTCTGGAGGTGCAGGGATGTCGGTGCAGGGATGTTCAGAGGTGAACTGAGGGACAGTCACYGCCTTGGCCCTTCCTAGTGTGAACGAACCAACTGAGTGTGGGCCCGTGGGGTGTGGCCGAAGGAGGTGGGCCCTGGAGCTGTGCCCTCGGGAAGGGGCATCTGCCCTGTGGCCCCTTCCACCACGATGCGCAGCCCAGAGCAAAGGAGCTGGCCATCTGTGGACTGGGACCTCGGACACCACCAGCCGAAGAGCTCTGCCTCCTCCAGGTCTTCTTATAGGTGTTTGGTAGCAGTAAAGGAAAGCTGACTGACACTCCCCCCGAGGGACTGCCCCAGGCCCACATCCTGTGGCCAAGGGAGGCTTCCGAGGTGTCTGCAGGACCTCCCAGCTGCACTCTCTGCCAGACCTGCCGCCCGGATGCTTACAGCCAAGTCCCTCACCACCTCCCCTGCCCACCTGTGCGGGGCCCACCTGTGTGGGGGGGCCCACCTATGGGGGGCCCACCTGTGTGGGCCCACTTTTGCAGGGGGGGCACCTGTGTGGGCCCACGGGTGAGGGGCCCACCTGTGTGTGGGGGCCCAACTGTGCGGGGGGGGGGGCACCTGTGCGTGCTCCTGTCCCTCATGTGAGTGATGCACCACRCCCTCTGCCTTTGGGAAAGGGACCTTTCTGGTCTGTCCCAGACCCTAGGTGAGCTCTGAGGACCTCACGTGGGCTCCACAGGCCCTCGGTGAAGAGAGCAAGTTTCACAAGACTGTCTCATGAGAAGAGCCTTTGCACAACTCACTTTTCTGTAAAAACCAGTGAGAAAATAATCCTTCTCTCAAATCTCGACTTGGCAAGCGCCCTTCTCTTTCTTGAATGAACCCAGAGTGTCCTCGTTTTCCCTGTGTGGTGCATGCAGGGCCCGCCTGGATCATTCTGTCTCCGGAAACTGACTTTCCGCCATAGCTTAACAAGCCACTTATAAATAGCTCATCTGAAAGCCATGCGGCCTCTGCCATTGTAAATCACACATCAGGTAAGATTCTTGCCAGAAAAATTCTAAGAACCTAACACTCAAGAAATAAAACCAAAGTCATTGCTGAGGTAAAAGGTTTTAAAGATTGTTTTGCAGAAACAGAATTTCCAGAGATGGAGTCCAGTGGGCCAAGGAGTCCCTCAACCTGGGCGGAGTCGGCCGTCTCCCTTTCTGTGGGCTCAGGGAGAATGAGGGCACTGCTCCAACCTGGGATGGGTCTGTTGCCCCATTGGGGAGGTGAGCCCACAGGACAGGTGAGCCGCCCACAGGACAGGTGAGCCCCCCACAGGACAGGTGAGCCATAGATGGCTGCATCTGCACGTATCCGTAGTCACCCACTTTCATTAAACATAAGCTCGGTTCTTATGTTTAAGAAATGATGATCTTAGAAACTCAAACAGCATAAGGGCACAAACGAAAACATGTCCCCTCCCCAGCCCACCCAGAAGGGTCTCACTGGTGACATGGCGCCACCAGGCAGAGGCAACCCCACCTTGCTCTCCTACCCTCCTGGAGATAGAACCCGGGTGCCCTACCACTGAGCCACATCCCCAKCCCTTGTTATTTTTTTATTTGGAGACAGTCTTGCTAAGTTGCTGAGGTGGCCTGGGACTTGCCTCAAACTCCTCTGCCTCAGCTTCCAGAGTCCCAGGATGACAGCGGCAGCCTCGTACCTGGCCCCTACCTGGCTGTTCTAAAGTTCACCGGGGTGGCCTTTCCCTCCAGGATGGGCCTCCTGGGAGCAGAGGCTCAGCAGTGCAGGGCATCCTCCCAGAGTGCCCTGCAGTGTGTTCTCCCACCCTGGGTTTGGAGCCGCACTCCAGGTCTGGGATCTCTCRCTTGAGAGGTGGGAAACGCACCCCCTTCACGGTGTCCTTTAATCCTCTGTAAAGGCACGCAGAGCCGAACTGAGACCTGGGGCGCATCTCTCCAGAGCCCCAGCTGACACTCCGCCAGGTCTCCCCGGAGGCCTCCCTCCTCCACATGCACAGTGACTGTGGGACAGTCCCAAGACTTGGCTCCCTCTACAGAGGGCTGTGCAGGGCCCTCAAGGGTGCACTGTCCACACTGGCCACYGAGCCTGCCCAGAGGCTGGGCAAGAGGGAAAATGAGAGTTCCCAGCATCAAAGCCAGCACCTCACACAGTGCCTCTCCGGGTTCCCCTGAGGAAGACCTCACAAGGTGCAGGGGTGAGGTCTCCTGAAAGTTAAAACCCCACCAACCAGGACCTAAAGATCAGAAGTTTCAGGAAGGAGAGAAGAAAGCGCCCTCTTCCCTGAGAAACAGCTTCCTATAGGCCACAGGCTCCAGGGTCAAATCTCCCAGGAGGCCCTGGTCTTATATTGCAATCTTCCCATGGAACCGGCAGATGCTTTGGAAGTCTCCGCAGAGYCAAGACCATCCTAGGTCTTACCCCAAAGCAGAACCCATCCAAGAGAGTCCAGCAGATTGACCTGCAGAAGCTAAAAGTGTGTGCAAACAGAAACACCCAATCCAGAGTCTGGAGACAGATGACCACCTGAGGCCCACCGACACAGGGTCCACGGCAGAGGCAGCTGCACCCCTTAATATCAAAGGCTCTCAGAACCAACAGAAAAAGGATGTGGTCCAAAGGAAGAGTTAAACATGGACTAAACATATACAGGTAATTCTCCAAATGGCCAAAYGATAAAATGAAAAGAGGCTCAATGTCTACAGCAGTTGAGAGGAATTAAAGTGACAAAAAGCCTTGTTTTACCTGTCAGACTGCCAAAGACGAAATGGTGTGACACCACTCAGAACTGGCACAAAGCCAAGAAAACAGCATCACCGAGGCCGGACAGCAAGTTAGAGCAGGGCTTCTGGAGGGCATTTTGGCAAAAGGCACCATGGTTCTGCCCCAGCAGGCTGTCCTCTAGAAAGCTATCCTAGGGAGATATTCAGTATTCCAAGGACATCCAGCTGTTCATCATGAGCTGGCTTAAAAACCGCATGGAGCCCAGAGGGCACACAGCTGGGATTCCAGCCTCTGGAGGCAGAGGCAAGAGTACCACAAGTTTGAGGCCAGACTCAGGAAATTAGAGAGGCCCTATGACCCAGTCTCAAAATGAAAAATAAAAAGGGCTGGGGGTGTGGCTCAGTGGCAAAGCACCCCTGGGTTCAATCCCTGGTACTAGAACATGCCAAAATATTAATAGCCCATGTCATGGGGGTGGTGACTATTAATTATTCTCCCAGGTTTAAGTAAAGAGTATTAATTTTTTTTAAGAGAGAGAGAGAGAGAGAGAGAGAG